TATCTCCTCAGTCGTCAGTTCCTGGGTGTGCTCCTCGATGAGCTCGTTCACGTCTCTCTCTTCCACCTCTAGACCCATGGATTTCCCCAGAGACTACCGAACCGAACCGGACTCGTATCTCGAATTTCGCTCGTAACTAAAAGCAAAAAATCACTTGCTCGTCGGCTCGTATCTCGAAAAACTCGTATGTCGAGGTACCACTGTATATACAAAATATCTGGATAATTTGTGCAGCTTAAAAATTAAAGTCACATTGTAGCTTTAGTGTCGAAGTACGTTATTATTACATTTAATACATTGTTATCGTATAGTGTGTGGGGGGAAGATGGAGAGGAAGGCCTGATGAAAATTGTGATTGAAAATTGGATCGCCAAGATCGAAAGTTTGAGAGGCACTGTAACAGAGGGATTGGTTTTTCTAATGTTGCCATCTACAGCAACACGGAGGATATTGGACATACGAGTAGAATTCATCAATCAAGGAGGATGCGGGAAAGTGAGGATAGTACTTGAGCTGGCACTCTACTCTCCCAACTTCCCCACCACGTCAACGGATGGACTTTGAACCACAAAAAATTAATGTACATCAGTGGTATGAAATATATAAACACGCTGGCCATGACCACTTGGCCCCCACGATGAAGATAACAGACGTAGTTTATTGAGTGAATGCCTTGTAAACAGTTATTGAAAGAATAAGGATTTTGGGAACAGAAATATTACAAAATTAAGTTTGGAAGATGGGTACACGTGTTTACAATGCAATGCTGAAAAATTGAAAGTTTTTGAACTTAAAAACATCCTATATTGATCCCTTTTTTTAAAATGGTATATATTCTATAAATTTTGTGACTCATATAATATATATATATATTCGTTTTATTATATTATATAAGCGATTTGAAAAGAGTTATTTTCTAAATATTTTGCTGTATTCAAATTGCGTAATGTTTGAATAAATATTTGTAATTCGTGTTTGCATGCATTTTCCCTAGGAACTTACACAAGTGTTATTTCAGACTACATGTTAAAGAGGACTGGTTGTGAAACAAATTATAAAATTAATAACACAGGACCGCGAGGGAAAACAATACAAGGTAAACAATAGCTCAACTTTGTGTATTTTTTGTGGTGCTGATTTCGAAAATAATGAACAATTTCTATCACACGTCACGTCTTCATGAAATGTTCAATTATAATTGAATTTTTATGAGTATTTACCAAACATTTGGAACTAGTTTGATATCACGGGGAAAGGCGCCAAGAGCTGCTTCACGCAAAAAAGGTATCATGCCAAGCAGCACTTGTCGCTGGAATAAAATCCAAGATGGCGGCCTAGAGGTATCAAATGGTCAGGAAGATAATTTTAAAGATTTGTGTTTTGAAATACATTGAAATATATTTCAAAAGAAGAATATAGGAAGAGACAGAATAATCAAGATCAATCGATAAATAATGAATAACAATATAATATAATAAAAAGTAAAATGTGCTAATAATATCATGCAGTATATAATAATCTTATAATGTAATTTAATTGTAATTATATAAAATATTGCCATATAGTATGATTTAATAATAATTATTATATATAATAAACATTTAATATAATTTAGAAGTAATTATTGAAAGAATAATCATCGAATTCTAATATAAAAATTTTACATATGAATACTCATATAACGTAATAATTATAAATGATTAACGAAATAATAATTATAAGCAAATAACATATGTAATATTTATAAAGAAATATAATAAAACAATTATAAATAACGATTCTGATTACGTATAATAATAATTGTATTGTGTTATATTATTAATAAAATCTAATAGATAAAATTCTCGTATCACAGTGTTTGTAACCAAACTCCTCCGAAACAGCTTGACCGATTCTTATGAAATTTTGTGCATATATTCAGTAGGTCTGAGAATAGGACGTAAACTATTTTTCATATCATTAAGTAATAAGGGTGGTCCAACCTAAAAAAAAAATTTGGTGCCAACTTTGATTTGTCTGCATTGTTGTAACACTGTTATTTTTACGACATTGAGAAAAGTTGGCATCGAAAATCCGTTTTCAGCCAAACTGGAATTTCATGACGTTGCTCTATTGACTGCATTAACTAACTTTGTTTAAAAAATGCTTTTAACATGTGATTAACTTGAAATTTATTATTAAAATCTCAATTTCTACAATTTTTTACATTTTTTTACAAAATTCTGTTTTTTTTAATTTAAATTCCTAGAAAAAAAGATAAAACTATTTTCCAAGAAGATTGGTACATTTTTGAAGTTATACTTCTTTTGGGGCGTTAGAGAAATAGGATGAGGGTAAATTTTTTCAATGCGCACGCACACCGTCACGGATGCGAAAATCCTTTGCCTAGAAATATACAGAATGGGACAAATCATACCCGCCTTCAAAATCCTCAAAAAATTCCCTGAAGAAGACTCCCGGGTTTGAACCGGGAACCATTCGATCTGCAGTTGAATGCTCTACCATTGAACCCCCTTGTCAGAGAACCTTTGTTTTGCGTTACGTAGGAACGGATATGAAAATGCTTTGTCTAGAAATATGCAGAACGGGACAGATCATTCCTGTCTTCGACCCCCTCCCCATATTATTGGTCCTATTGTACCTCTGTGTGTGCGGG